CTCCCTCCGTCTCTCCTTACGCCCCATCCAGGTTCCCACACTTACTGCTGGACCCTGAGCCACAGCCCCTGCTAAACCCCACAGCCCCAGGCAGTCCTGAGGTCCTTTCTCAAGATAGCATCTGTGCATGCCAAGTCGCTTCAGTCCTGTCCGACTCTTTGTGACCCTATGGACTGCAGCCTGCCAGGCTCCTCTGTCCATGGGATTCTCTAGGCAAGAATACTGGAGTGGGTTGCTATGTCCTCCTCCAAGGGATCTTCCCGACCCAGGGATCGAACCTTCATCTCTTACGTCTCCTGCATTGGCAGGTGGGCTCTTTACCAGTAGCACCACCTGGGAAGCCCAACATAAATACACTACCATGTAAAAAAGAGATACCTCGCTGGAAGCTGCTGTATAACACAGGAAGCCCAGCGTGGTGCTCTGTGATGACCCAGATTGGTGGAACGGGGTGAGGGGAGGGAGGCTCGAGGTGGGGGATATATATACATATATATAACTATCAATGATCAGAGCTGATTTATGGCAGAGACAACCTCAACACTGTAAAGCAATTAGCCTCCAGTAAAAAAATTTTTAAAATGTCTTTATATTCCTTTAAAATTATTCTCGTGTTATTAACACAGACAGTCGTCCTTTTAAAGGACTTTGTTGCAAGCCAGTCAATCCTAAAGGAAATCAACCCTGAATATTCACTGGAAAGACTAATGCTGAAGCTGAAGCTCCAATACTTTGGCCACCTGATGTGAAGAGCCAACTCACTGGAAAAGACCCTGATGCTGGGAAAGACTGAAGATGGGAGGAGAAGGGGACGACAGAGGATGAGATGGTTGGATGGCATCACCGACTCAATGAACATGAGTTTGAGCAAACTCCAAGAGATGATGAAGGACAGGGAAGCCTGGCGTGCTGCAGTCCACAGGGTTGCAAAGAGTAGGCCACGACTGAGCGGCTGAACAACCACCACCATAAGCTGCACGTTTCGGGCACAGTTTAGGTACGTCTTGTGGCACAGAGGCCCCTACAGACATCACAGGAGATGGAAACAAGGCTCACCACGACCACTGATCCAGCTGGACCCTTGGTGCTCCCAGGAGTCCTCTGTTTTCTCCCCTGACCCCTCCACTCTCACTGACGGAACCTCAGACGCCTGTGCTGGCCCAGCCTCTGTGGGCCTGGGTCCAGTGTCACCTGGGAGAGTGGTGCTTCGTACACACACACACACACACACACACACACACACACAGCCTCGCAGGAGAGCCCCTTGCCGGCCACTGGATGGATGCACATGCCCGGGTTTTCGCCTGCCCCTGCCCTGGTTACAGCATGGAGCCCGGCACCGCCTCCAGCAGAGGGCAACCCTTCTCTGGATCCTTCAACAGACCTTACCATTCTCTTGTCCTCTCAGATAAAACAGTCAGCCTCTCTCAACTGGATCATTCCCTTTTACCTGCAAACAGACAGGCGTGCCTCTCACCTACAAACAACATAAAACAGATCCCTCCTCTGACTGCGCTCCCCACGGTCACTGTCGAGGCAGGCTCTGGACCTACCGTCGGCTCCCTCCTTCCCTTGCACAGCCTCCTACGTCCCCGTCGCCTGGGCTCCCTTTCCATCACTCACTGAATCGGCCACCGAAGACTTCCCGGGGACCAAGTCCACGGGCAATGCCGGTGTCGGCTGGCTGGACCACAGTCAGCACCCCACGCTGCAGGATGCTCTCCTTCCCGCGTCCCCCTCCTCGGGCTCGCCCTCCCCTGGCTGACTGCCGGGTCACAGCTGGGGCCTCCCTGCAGCTCCTGCACCATCACCTCAGAGCCGAGGGTCCTCCCAGGCGGGACTGACCATCACCAGGTGCGCCCAGGTGTGCGGCGTCTGAGTGACCGTGAGCTCCATGAAGGGAAGGGCTGGGCCCATGTCCGCCCCACGGTGGGTGGGCACCTCGTAGACACCCGAGTATTTGTTCAGCAGGTAAGCGGGAAGGGCGGAGCTCCCAGGACGATGGTGTTCACCTGCACCTGCGGGATTCTCTCCTTCAGGAGCCCGAAGGGGCAAACACATGCCCCAGCAGCCCGCTGAGAGCGTGGGGAGGCCAGCGGGCCTAAGCAGGGCCTGCAGGCTTAGAGAGGGGCCACAGGGAACCTCCTGCTGCGGGGGCCGCGGTCCCCAGACCCCAGGGCTTCCCGTGGTCCTGAGCAGGGGCTGCTCCTGGTCTGGGGAGTCCAGGCTCCCACCGCCACGTGCACCCCTGAAACGAAGCCTGTCTCTGCAGGGAGCTTCCCAGGGGCCACCACCTTGGCGCTTAGAGTATAAATAACACAAGAACGCCTCTGGGAAAGTCACTAAAGAAGCAGTTGTTCATGGATGAGTGCAAAAGCCTGAAGCAGGAGAAATGAAAATATGAGGCGCCTTACATAATTTTCCCCAAAGACATCGAGAACTCTTTTGAAGAGATTAGCCGCGTTCTGGAATTATTCCCAAGAACTGTGCCAAATGCAGCAAACATTCCTTTAAAGAGATAAGGATTAAGGCTCACTAAAGACCACCATACAGCTGTTTCACAATTCGAAAAGCTATTAGCTGTGTGCGCGGCATTTCTGGCTTGGAAAAAAATTTAGTCTCACAGAGAAGAAATATTAAATATATATATATAGCCAATTTTATTTTCAAATGATCACTTACTTAGGGCTTTACAAGACATTAAAAGTTAAATGTGAAATCTATGTTTAAAGCCTAATTTATGATGTCCAAGCTTAGTCAGATTCCCCAAAGGCAAACAACTCCAATGCCTCAAACATGACTAGATCACACTAAATTTAAGCCCAATAAATTAAAGGGGGAAAAAAAAAAACCTAGGCCTTTCTAACTCTAAATTGGGCAATATCAATTTCTTCACTAAATCTTTTTCTGATAGTTTAGGATGAAGGGGATAATCTTTGCCTCTGGACAGAATGACAGCTAAGCTGAGCCATAGGCAAGACGAGGCTGCTGCCTCATTTTAACTTTTAATTTTATTTTGGGGTATAGCCAATCAACAGTGTTGTGGTAGTTTCAGGTGGACAGCAAAGGGACTCAGCCACACATACGCACGTCTCCATTCTCCCCCAAATTCCCCTCCCATCCAGGCTGCCATATTAACGTTGGGCAGAGTCCCGTGTGCTACACAGCAGGGCCTTGTTGCCTTTCCATTTTAAATGTAACAGTGTGTACATGTCCATCCCAAACTCCCTAATGATCCCTTCTACCCATCCTCTCCCCCCAACCTGGCAACTGTAAACTCATTCTCTAAGTCTGTGAGACTGTTTCTATTTTGTAATAAGTTCATCTGTATCATTTCTCTTTAGATTTTGCATATAAGGGACGTCATATGATATTTCTCCTTCTCTGTCTGACCCTCTTTACTTGGTAGCCGTGCCATTCTAACTGGCAAGAGGACATGTCCTTTTCTGAGCTACATAGCAAAAAGAGACTCAGCACCTCTCCTGAGTTGGACTTTTAGAGTTTCCTTAGATGATGAACAGTAAAGCAAATAATACAAGAAAAAGTCAACATGGAGTGGATGACATCAGCCAACAGAGGATCGACTGGACGGCTGGGGACTGCACGGAGACAGCAGGGCATGTGGGGGAGAACATAATATCTGGAGTTAGACCCGCAGTTGCCAATTACCAGCCAACAGTGGAGAGTCATTAACCTCTCTGGACTGGTGTTCGCATTGATGATTGAGAGCTGATGATGAGACCCTGAGAAAATTAAGTAAAACCAACTGTGACCCACACAAAACAGACATTCAATACTGCATCTGTTAACTGCAATGAATTATCTGATGAACATTTACCTATTACAAAGAGAGGGGTCAACGGCATTTCTATAAAAGAACGAGTCAAGTCCTTGGCCTTCCTGTCACTTCAAACGTAGAAAGGAATGCACTTTGGTAAAGGACATAATAATAGGGACTGCAAAATTCCATGACATTCTTGGAAACAAAAATCCCATGTGACTTTATCAAATAATGAAGTAAATTTAAATTAACTTAAGGGGGCTCCTGTCACGAAAAGAAGTAAGAGGTCAGATTCTGGGCATGGAGAATTATATCAAAGTAATCCCTAAATAAATAAATGTCTGTATTATGCTCCCCGAAAGGAAAGAGCAATGCCCATTCGAGCAGTGTCCTCTTCCAACCCCCTTCCTGGACCTTGCTGCCCCCCTCAGCACAGACAAGCCCACCCCGAGCACAGCTGGGGGATGGCGGGGCACCCACCCTGACTCCCCTTCTGCCCCCTTATTAGCGAGTTTTCATTGCTGTGGTTGTTCAGTCACTCAGTCGTGTCCGACTCTTTGCGACCCCATGGCCTGCAGCATGCCAGGCCTCCCTGTCCTTCACCATCTCCCAGAGGAGTTTTCATTGGCCAGATTTATATTTAGGATTAAGACGAGTCAGGAGCCTCTCTTTCCTAATCAAAACCAATGCAGGTTGATAACCTGTAACAAATACCTTTTACATCTAAGAAACAACATGGTCAGAAAGTCTAACTCGTTGCTAAAAAGAGAAAAGGCAGTTTTCTCCCTACCAACATGCAAAGTTTTCTCTTGTTGCTTTGCAACCCCAGGGACTGTGGCCACCAGGCTCCTCTGTCCATGGTCTGGGGACCAGGAAGGGAAACACACGGACTCAGGGGGCCACAGCACAAAACGGGACACATCACGCAGAATCTGGACCCCTAGTTAACTGGAGTTGCCCGAGGCATCATCTAGACTGAAAGATAAGAGGCTGAAGGGAACAGGAGTAGCAACATGTCTGTATTTCCCTTGGAGGTTCCGATCAGTGGACGCAGTTTGCTGACTGAGACACACAACAAAAGGGCTTTCTGTCCTGCTGGACACCTGACAAAAGACTGCACCCTCTAAGCCAGCAGTATAGAGAGACTGTGTTCCATCTGCCAACTGCAGAAAGCTTTTACAAAAGCCCAGAGCCCCTCTGTGTGCAGGGCATGACTCACAGTGCGGCTCGTAGGGGGGTGGAGGGTCTCCGCAAGGCACACACTCCATGTCTTGAAAACCAACAAGTTTCGTCTTCCTGTAAAACCTAGAAGAGAAAAGAGAATAATCTTTGTGTTGCTTTTTTCATCTCAGCTCACAGATGCAGCAAACAGATTTCTGTCATAAATTACTGCCAGTCTCCATTACCAGTTCTATGTTTGAAAAAAGGTTCTCAAAGGCTTAAATATAACAGTATATTTCAGACAGGCACAACTTTAGAAAGCACTCTGAGCATGCAGTGGACTTAAGAAATGACAATTCACTAAATGTAACTTTGTAGATTCTACTCAGCCCCACTTTTGTACATTGTGGTGGGAGGGGCACCAAGAGGCAATATGAAATCTGGACATTTCTATTGTTATTTATATGACAAAATACTTTATGCGGTGCTAGTTTTTAACCTTTGAAATGCAGAAACCAAAATGCCACACAAACCATAAGAACACTGGGAAAATGTAGGCAGATACACAATTTTGATATGGGAACACCTTTCTAGGAATGACAAGAAATCCAGGAGGCAGAATGGAAGAGATTAACAGTTTTGAACCCGCACATAAACACACTCACACACACATGTGTGCACAAATACTAGAGACACCTGAAAAGGAAAAACAAGCCGTCAACATAATTAGTGGGCAGAAGAAAACTGAAAAATAGTTCTAATCACAGTATTGTCTATAACTTAAAACTTAAAAATCATTATGATAAAAGTAAACATGGGACATCTCTGATGGTCCAGTGGTTAAGAATATGCCTGCCAATGCAGGAGACATGAGTTTGAACCCTGCTCTGGCAAGATCCCTCATGCTTTGGAGCAACAAAGCCCCAGGGCTACAACTATTAATACTTGTGGCAACTAGAGACAGCCTGCACACAGCAACAAAGACCAAGTGCAGCCAAAAATAAATTTAAAAAATAAAAATAAATTTTTATAAAAGTGAATATGGCAACTGAAAAACATGCAAAGAACACTAATGTTCCAAAGAACACATCATAATTTGAAAATTTCTTAATTTAAAAAATTGCTCAGTTGTGTCCAATTCTTTGCAACCTCATGGACTATTCAGTCCATGGAATTCTCCAGGCCAGAATACTTGAGTGGGAAGCCTTTCCCTTCTCCAGGGGGTCTTCCTAACCCAAGGATCGAACCCCGGTCTCCTGCATTGCAAGCAGATTCTTCACCAGCTGAGCCACAAGGAAAGCCCAAGAATACTGGAGTGGGTAGCCTATCCCTTCTCCAGCGGATCTTCCTGATCCAGGAATTGAACCGGTGTCTCCTGCATTGCAGAGGATTCTTTACCAACTGAGCTAAGAGGGAAAAGACGATGAAATTAAGAACTTTAAAAAATTTTAACATTAAAATGTTTAACCTCACTACTAACAAGCAAGTGCAAACTGCAATGAAAATATACTGTTTTGAATTAGAAAATTGGAAACCTGTTGGCACGCACCTAGGCAAACGGGCACACATGTGCAGTGGGAATACAAACCGTTGCTTTACAGGGCAATTTAGCAACAGGCCATCAGAACTCAATAGAACAGTTTACATCTTATCCAGTAATTTCATGTTTTGAAATTTATCCTCAAAAAATAATCAAGTGGGGAAAATTGGACGTAAATAGAGAAACCACAGCATTGCTTATAAAAGAAAAAGACCCAAGAGGCCTGGCCCATACCCAACAGCAGATGTGACCTCAGCCGTGGTGGACCCAAGGCTATGAAATACAAGGGGGATTTTAGAAACCATGATGCAGGTCTACATACCTATTTTTTATTTTAATTTATGAAATACCATTAACTGAAAATGAATTGTGAATAATATAGTTCCAATTTGCACACACACACACTTTGGTATAGATTCTTTCAGATTATTTAATTATCAATGCAGCCAAAGACATTTATGTGTGTAAAGGTGCATTGTAAATAGTTTGGTATATTATACACCAAATATTAATAGAGATTATTTCTAAATGATGGGGATTCCAGTGCTTTTTATATACATATATTTTCCACTTTTTCATGACAAAAATAGTGATATGGAGAATAAACTACAGATCAAGTTTATAGAGACAGGTAGATGCAATTATTTTGTGAAATTGGATTATTTAGCAAATCTGCATGATTTGTGGTTGAAGTAAAATCTGCATTTAAAACTAGATAATTAGACCGAATGTTCAGATTCATCCAGTACTTGCTCAACCTTCCATTTTCAATGGATTGTGAAGATCTGCTTAAATGATCGTAATATAATGACTTCCCACCACAATTTGATAAAAAATATTTCTTTTGGAATTTATAAAGTAAAAGTCAAAGAACAAAGTTGGAGGAGACACACGTCCTTGTATAAGCTTGTAGAAAATCGTTTGACCACACATGTGCGGGTTCACTTCTGGGCTCTCTGTTCTGTTCTGTTCTCTGTGTCTGCATTTATGCCAGCATCACACTGTACTGAAAAGTGGAGTTTGTAAAGTGTTCTGATATCAGGAAGTGTGATTCCTCCAACTTTGTTCTTTGATTTGTTAAAAATTTGTTAAAATTTAATTCAAAATGAATTAAAGACATAACATAAGACCCCCAGACTGTAAATTCCTAGAAGAAAATACAGGAGAAGTTTCATGACAACATCTGGCAATGATTTCTTAGATACGACATCAAAAGGTATATAATAAATAGGCAACAAAAGCAAAAATAGACACGGAGTATATTAAATCTGAGACTTTTGTATATCAAAGGATACTATTGATGTGATATGTACTTATTACCAAACTCATGGAGTGGTATACAGTAGATATGTACAGCTTTAGTCAATCATACCTCAACAAAGTGGTTAAAAATGTCACAACTGAAAAAAAAAAGAGTTTTGAATTTTAGTAACAGTTTCTTTGGCAGTTAAAAGAAAATGAGACAGCGAAAAGAATGAAAAGGCAACCTATACTATGGGGAAATTTATTTGCAAATCATATAACTGATAAGGCTTGATATCCAGAGTATTTAAGTAACTCCTAAGCTATGGTTTTTCCATTAGCCATCTATAAATGAGAGAGCTGGAGAATAAACAAGGCTGAGCACTGCAGAATTGATGCTTTTGTATCGTGGGATTGGAGAAGACTCTCAAGAGTCCCTTGGACTGCAAGGAGATCGAACCAGTCAATCCTAAAGGAAATCAACCCTGAATATTCATTGGAAGGACTGATCCTGAAGTTCCAACAAGTTGGCCACCTGATGTAAAGAGCCGACTCACTGGAAAAGACTCTGAAGCTGGGAAAGATTGAGGGCAGGAGGAGAAGGGGGAGACAGAGGATGAGATGGTTGGAAGGCATCACTGGCACAATGGACGTGAGTCTGAGAAGGACAGGGGAGCCTGGAGTGCTGCATTCCATGGGGCCACAAAGAGCCGGACACAACTAAGAGACTGAATGAGAATGACAACAAAAACGTCCTTTACAAGGAAGGGGTGATGCTAATCCCTTCTTCACACAGTGATTCGGCAATTAAATCATCGAATCCATACAGAGTGCTTGGAAAGTGTCAGCCATCCTGGTTACTAAAAGCAGCAGAGAACTGGCCACGTGGGCTCCTCTTCCAGGGCAGGGCCCCAGGCCCCCTCAGCAGGGAAAGGCGGGTGGGGCCGGGGCCGGAGGCCATGTGGCCCCTTTTGCAATGCTTTCACAGGCCCCACACAACATTAACTGACAGCAATGTCTGTGACGTATTTAGTGCTTACTGTGCCTAGCACTCTGCCAGGCTCTGGACATAAGCTCTATTCTTAACCTTTCCAACAATGCTACAGGTTGGTAGCATTACTACATGTTATATACATATTTTTACATAATTGACTTATTTATCTTATAGTTTCTTTTTTTGATGTGGACCATTTTTAGTCTTTGTTGAATTCATTACAATATTCCTTCTGTTTCATGTTTTGGTTTTTTGGCCACAAGGCCTGTGGGATCTTAGTTCCCTGACCATGGATCAAACCCAGGCTTCCTGCATTGGAAGCACAGAGTCTTTGCCACTGGACCACCAGGGACATCCCTGTTTATTTTCTTTCCGCCTCAATTTTCCTGTCTGTAAAGCACGTGTGAACTATTTGCCTCTTTCACACAAACACAGTCAAGCTGGGTGAGCACTTTGAACACACCCAGGAAGACCTGTGTACAAGTCACTCTGTAATTGTTGCCTGCCTCATACCTTCCTGCTGGCTTAGAAAGGATGTAATTTTAAACTAATCATATAAATAAACAATGAAACACTATTCAAATACCTACTCATTTCTAACCTTCCTGCATGGAAGCATTTATTTACAGGACAAGCAAACATTCTGGAAACTAAAGCTGTGGGCTCAAGTGACAGCAAATTTGGTGGAGCATGAAGAAGCATGTCTGGGAGGGAGCTCGGGGGAGGCTGGATCCTCTCACGGTCCAGCAGCTCACACCTGGGGTCCCCGCCCCAACTCCACAAACAGCAAGTCCTAGGTCTCCAGGCACTGCCCACTTTGGGCAGCAGCCCCCGTGGCCTCCTCGTCCCCCTGCCCCCATGTCCGACCCCAGTGAAGAGGGCAGAGGGGCACAGACTTGGTTTTGTCAGGACAGGAACAGAGATAAGACAGGTGTTCAGTTTCTATCCCTGCATTAGATTTGCACAAGGTCAAACCTCAGCATAATGATACGCAACAGGTATCAGCGCCTTCTGAGATTACATTACTTCTTTTTTTTTTAATAACAGATTGGGGACATCCCTGGTGATCCGGTGGTTAAGACTCTGCACCTCCAATGCAGGGGGCATGGGTTCAATCCCTGGTCAGGAACAGCTCTCACATGCTGCGCAGCACAGTCAAGAAATAAAAACAGAGTAGATTACTGAGATATAATTCACATACCATGCATTCCATCCCTGTAAAGTAAGCGATCTTTAGTATCGACACATTCGGTGTTACATCAGAACCGACTATTTTAGAACATCTTCATCACTCCAGAAAAGAAACTCTGTCTCCTTTGGCAACCACTCCCCATTCTTCTCAAGCCTCCGCAGCCACTAGCCCTCAACAGCCACTAATTTACTTTCTGGTCTTTAGATCTGCCACATTTGGACATTTCACACAAATGGAATAATACAAAACGGGGTCTTTTGTGATTGTTTTCTTTCACTCTGCATCATGTTTTCGAGGTTCACCCACGTTGTCACCGGTATCAGTAATTCATTCCTTTTATTGCCGAACAGCATTCTGTCATTAATTTGTTAATTACACTCCATTTTGTTGATCCATTGATCAGCTGAAGGACATTTGGGTCATGTCTACTTTTTACTATTACGTATAGTGCTGTGAACAGCTGTGTACAAGTTTTTGTGCGGCACGTTCTCAATTCCCCTGGTTATATATACTCAAGTGCAGAAGGGCTGGGTTGCAAGTAAACTCAATGTATAACTTGTTGAGGCTCTTCCATACTGTTTTCCAAAGCGGCTGCACCATTTTATTTTCCCCATTTCTCCGGTCCTCACCAATACCTGCTATTGTCTGTCTTTTGGCTATAGCCATCCTTGTGGACACAGAAGGAAGAATACACAGAAGAACTGTACAAAAAAGATCTTCATGACCCAGATAACCATGATGGTATGATCACTCAACTAGAGCCAGACATCCTGGATGTGAAGTCAAGTGGGCCTTAGGAAGCCTCACTATGAACAAAGCTAGTGGAGGTGATGGAATTCCAGTTGAGCTATTTCAAATCCTAAAAGATGATGCTGTGAAAGTGCTGCACTCAATATGCCAGCAAATTTGGAAAACTCAGCAGTGGCCACAGGACTGGAAAAGGTTAGTTTTCATTCCAATCCCAAAGAAAGGCAATGCCAAAATATGCTCAAACTATGGCACAATTGCACTCATCTCACATGCTAGTAAAGTAATGTTCAAAATTCTCCAAGCCAGGCTTCAATAGTATGTGAACCATGAACTTCCAGATGTTCAAACTGGATTTAGAAAAGGCAGAGAAACCAGAGGTCAAATTACCAACATCTGTTGGATCATCAAAAAAGCAAGAGAGTTCCAAAAAAAAACATCTGTTTCTGCTTTATTGACTATGCCAAAGCCTTTGACTGTGTGGATCACAATAAACTGTGGAAAATTCTGAAAGAGATAGAAATACCAGACCACCCGACCTGCCTCTTGAGAAACCTGTATGTAGGTCAGGAAGCAACAGTTAGAACTGGACATGGAACAACAGACTGGTTCCAAATAGGAAAAGGAGTACGTCAAGGCTATATATTGTCAACCTGCTTGTTTAACTTATATGCAGAGTACATCATGAGAAAGGCTGGGCTGGAGGAAGCACAAGCTGGAATCAAGATTGCCTGGAGAAATATTAATAACCTCAGATATGCAGATGACACCACCCTCATGGCAGAAAATGAAGAGGAACTAAAGAGCCTCTTGATGAAAGTGAAAGAGGAGAGTGAAAAAGTTGGCTTAAAGCTCAACATTCAGAAAACTAAAATCATGGCATCTGGTCCCATCACTTCATGGCAAATAGATGGGGAAACAGTGGAAACAGTGTCAGACTTTATTATTTGGGCTCCAAAATCACTGCAGGTGACTGCAGCCACGAAATTAAAAGACGCTTGCTCCTTGGAAGGAAAGTTATGATCAACCTAGACAGAATATTAAAAAACAGAGACATTACTTTGCCAACAAAGGTCCATCTGGTCAAGGCTATGGTTTTTCCAGTGGTCATGTATGGATGTGAGAGTTGGACTATAAAGAAAGCTGAGCACCGAAGAATTGATGCTTTTAACTGTGGTGTTGGAGAACACTCTTGAGAGTTCCTTGGACTGCAAGGAGATCCAACCAGTCCTTCCTAAAGGAGATCAGTCCTGGGTGTTCATTGGAAGGATTGATGCTGAAGCTGAAACTCCAATACTTTAGCCACCTGATGCAAAGAAGTGACTCACTGGAAAAGACCCTGATGCTGGGAAAGATTGAGGGCAGGAGGAGAAGTGGGCAACAGAGGATGAGATGGTTATATGGCATCACCAGCTCAATGCACATGAGTTTGGGTAAACTCTGGGAGTTGGTGATGGACAGGGGGGCCTGGCGTGCTGCGGTTCATGGGCTTGCAAAGAGTTGGACACAACTGAGTGACTGACCTAAACTGATCCTCATGGACATGAAGTAAATGTGGCGGTATTTTTCTGCATTTCTCTGATGACTGATGTTGAGTATCTTTTCATGAGCTCACTCATGAGTATCATCTGTGTATCTTATTTGCAGAAATGTCTATTCATATCCTTTGCCCATAATTTAATTGGGTTACTTGTCTTTTTGTTATTGAGTTGTAAAAGCTCTTTATATGTTCTAAATAAGATAGTCCCTTATCACATATATGATTTATGATTTATGAATAGTTCTTCTAATGCTGGGGGATTGTCTTTTCATTTTCTTGACAGTATCCTTTGAAACACAAAAGATTTTAATTTCGATGAAGTCCAATACAGCTGTTTTTCCTTTGGTCATTGTGCTGTTGGTGTAAGACCACTACTTTTTGCAGCTGTTTGGGTGGTAAGTTTTTGCATGAGGACATGACTCATAAGGCTATTTTCTGCTCTTTCTTTGGGCCCAGAGTTTTAGCTGTCCTCTGGCTTCAATAGAAGCCCCAGGACAAGCACCTGGCATCTGTCAAACCCCTGGTCTTGTGGGCACATACTGGTCAAGTGCAGGGAGGGTCCTGCATCTGTTATGACTTGGAGTGTGGATTCTGGCAGCAGAGTCCTGGACATGGCTCCAAGTTGCACCTCGTACTGTCTGTGCAATCTCACCTGAATAACCTTAATGACAAGGCTGTTTCTTCATTTTTAAAACACTGTGAACATTACAGAAAATAATTCATGTATAGTGCTTCTCAGTGTTAAATTGTTTCAGTCCTGTCCGACTTTTTTGTGACTCTATGGACTGTAGCCCGCTAGGCTCCTCTGTCCATGGGATTCTCCAGGTGAGGTTACTGGAGTGGGTTGTTATTTCCTCCTCCAGAGGATGTAGAGTGCTTGGCCACTAAGTAATACATGTCTGCTGCTCCCGTAATGCTGCTGGCCCTGGTCAATTCACTTCTGCCATAAAACCTGGGTTCCAGGCAAGCTCCAGGACTCCTGGTCTCTCCTCTGGCTCTGCTCTGTTTAAACACATCCTCCTGGCAGTCACCTGGTCTCTTCCCTGCCTTACCTCCCCCAGCAAAGCCTCTTCACTCTCTAACAGACCACCACTCGGCCCGTGGGTCCCAGTTTTCATCACCACTCTGTCTTCCAGCTGCCTGTTTTATCTGGCATGTCCAGCCAACCAGTACCTACAAGTACTTCAATATTTAAAAATTCCTCCTCCCGGGCTTTGTCTCTCCACCTGGCCCAGGTGTGGTCCGCTTTCTGTCCACGGCCTGGGTTCCTTTCCAATGTGCACATTGAAGGTCTCCAGTGTCACATGAGTCCACCCCTGCCACCCCTTCTGCCTCTCCTTCCAACCCACTCTGTTGCCTCCTACACCTGTCTTGTCCTCTTGGCTGTTTCTGAAATGCACACACGTCCACCCTAGGGCCTGCATCCTCAGAGACCTCACCTTTTTAGCATCATCCAGCCTGTGACTCACTCTGATCCTGCCACCTGCCTCTCTTCTCTGGCCCCGGGGGGCACACCCAGCCCCCTGAGCTGCTGAAGGCTTTCTGTTTTCCCCACGAACCACCACCTTCTACCTTTCTGCACAACTTATTATTTACTGTGCAGGTACCTTTCAAATCGTATTAGGATGTAAGCTGCCCACGGGCAGCAGTCTTTGTCTCCCTCCTGAAAGCAACATCTAGCAGCTGCCCCACACATACCGCAGAAGTGACCAGCTGGACGGTGGTGTTTGCGTTTCTCTGATCATATGGAGGATGGCCATCTTCTAGCATCACAGGCCACATGCACTTCCTCTTTTGTGAGTAGCCTTATTCTTTCATCCCTTTGTCCGTCTTTTCTTTCTCATTGACCGGTGGGGACTCTGCAGATTTTTGTGACACTGAGCCTTGGTCACTGGCTTATCTGTTTGATCCTAACCCCCCGCCTGTCACCGTCCAGGGTGCGCGGGAGGCCCGGGAAACAGAAAAGCTGTGAACCTCAGCAACCTTGTTGGGGTTGATGTCAGCAGGCATCCGTGTTTGGAAGGGAACCAGAAAGAAAATCCTGCTCAGAATAACGACCTGATCTCCCGGGGAGGACTGGACACATACCCAGGCAGGCAGTCCCCGCAGACGGCGTCGCCGGTGGCCGAGCAGTTGGCCTTCTGGAAGCGGCTCAGCAGGGCGCAGTCCAGGCACGGCTTGCACTTCTGAGAGCCCCAGTCCTCCTTGAACCTGTGCGGTCGGCACTTCACACACTGGGCGTCCTCCCCGTAGCCAAAGCCACATTCCTGTGGGGATGAACAGACAAGAGACAGCTATTCAGACCCCGCAAGCATGAAAAAGGAGGACGACGAGATAAGACGGGGAACTGGGCTGGTAATTACCCAGCGTCTGCCTCCCTGCACACAAAGGCCCCTCTTTCAGCAGTTCCCATGTGTCTCCCCGCTAATAATCTCTCTTACGGCCAGAAGTATACTTTGTCATCCACTTTATTTCAGCAGCATGAGCATTTGAATACGAAAGGCTCTCTGCCTCCTGCTGCTGAATTATCGCTGGCTTAGGGCGGAATCAGGCACTTTATTCTCTAACTTGGCCAGTCATCTAAGTCCTCAGAAACTGGAGTCAGGGAAACAGGCAGACACACACACACTTATCAAGGCATAAAATAAGTGCTTTGATAAGTATTAGAAGGCAAGGACAGCTGCATATGAAATGTCAGAGGCTTACAAGCCTATAAACCTATCCAGTGAACTGCCTTGAAATATTTAGCTGTTTATTATCATCATTTAAACACCGAGTCTGACTTTTTTGCAACCCCATAGACTAATAACCCACTAGGCTCCTCTGTCCATGGGATTCTCTAGGCAAGAATACTGGAGTGGGTTGCCATTTCCTTCTCCAGGGGCTCTTCCTGACCCAGGGATCAAGCCTGCATCTCCTGCGTCTCCTATATGGGCAGGTAGGTTCTTTACCACTGTGTCACCTGGGAAGCCCTGGCTGTTTATTGCTGTCTGATAGAAGATACTTATATGACGCCTAAAAGTACACTAAATTCTTGTCTGGATCAAGCCCTGTGACACTAAAGTCTCAGGACTTTCCAGATTTGGGCATCAGAACCAGGCGCTGCTTTCCAGGGATGGGCCTCACAGATGACCCTTTGACCTGCGTGTGATCATCTCCACAAGTTCAAGCACTAAATCAATCACAGCGGATCATGATGCAGTTATAATGCAACCAAAAGAAGAGTGCTATAGACAGGCATTCGTGAGAGTTTAAAAAATAAGTCATAATACAGAATGAGAAGTATGACCCCATTTCTTACAAAAACACTAATATTAAGTACTCATATTTATTGGGGGCTCTCTTTATGTCAGGCTCTCATTAGTTAATACTCCCCCCAGTAAGGAAAGCCCTACTCATGCTCCCACCTCATAGATCGGAGTGGGGGGTTTCCCAGAAGGGGCGCACCTTAACTAAAGAGACATGGTTGATATCAGAACCAGGATATTCCCAGAATAGTCTTTAAATTAACTAATCAATTGATTCTATAGTGCTTTACAATTTTTGAAAGTTTCACACACATAATTTTATATAATCCCATAATAATCCTTTTTTTAAAGTTCTCTATCCCTATATTGCCCCCCTCTTCTCTCTCTACTGGTAACACTAGTTTATTCAGTTTTATCTGTGAGTCTATTTCTTTTCTATTTAACTCACTAGTTTGTTGTATTTTTCAGATTCCACATATTAGTGATATCTTACAGTATCCTGTCTCTCTGACTTAACTTCACTTAACATAGTGCCCACCAAGTCCATCCACCCTGCAGCAAATGGTAAAATTTCATTCTTTTTCATGGCTTAGTAGTATTCCATTGTGTGTGTATACACACACACACACACACACACATATACACACACAACATCTTTTTTATCCATCCCTCTGTTGATGGACACTTAGGTTGCTTCCGTACCTTTGCTATTTTAAGTAGTACTGCTATGAACACTGAAGTGCATATATCTTTTTGAATTCGTGTTTTTGTTTTTTTCATATATATACCCTGGAGCAGAACTGCTGGGACATAAGGTACAAGACCTACACCATTTAATTCCAGAGCCAGACTTCCTATTATCATACTGTGGGCCTTTCTGGCAGCTTATCTGACATGTACACAGAAGGATGTCTGAAGAGTTACATATCATAGTTAAACCAACTATGTGATGGTTTCTATAGAACACTGACCCTTGAAAAGAAAATCAGGCAGCAGCTCATAAGCTGCACGCACAGCCTCACACCAAGGGTGTGCCAGGGGCCCACACGGCCCCACACGAGGGTGTGCCAGGGGCCCACGGGCCGCCAGAGGGGCAGCGGGAGTCAGGGCTCCCCTCACAGCCTCAGCTCCCTCTTCTGGGAACTGTGGAAGCCAGAACACAGGTCCAGAGAGGTCAAAAATCCTTGTTTCTCCATAACATTTACACATTTAACTTCTCCATACATATTTATATGCAAAGACAACTAATTAAAAATTAAATCAAAATCAACAGGCACACATACAAGAATATACACATGAACTTAATTACAAAACAGAAATAGACTCACAGACATAGAGAACAAACTTATGGTTACCAAAGCAGGAGGTGGAGGAGAGGGACAACTTCTGAAGGCTGGGGTTAACCGATACGCACTACTGTATATACAACAGGTAAACAGCATGTCCTACGATATAGCACAGGGCAATACACACAATATCTTATAATAATCTATAATAGGGAAAGAATCTGAAAAAGCATAGGTATTATATATGTATGCCTGAATCTCTTTGCTGCACACCCAAAACTAACACGCTGTAAATCAACTACACTTCAATTAAAAAGCAAAAACCAATACAAAGAATAGTATTGCCTGTACTCAGTAAAGAACTCAATAAAGGATATTGGCAATAAGGCTTCAACCCACTAATGAACTCATGCACATTTGGGAGGAGGAGCCCCCTCGTCCCCCTTTCAGCCCCTGTCCGTCTTTCAGACGTGTCTTGAACAAGCACAGCAAAGCACTGTGGAGAAAAACAAAGCAGGAGGTCAGCCCCTCCTCAACTCTGAGGGCTCCAGCCGGACAAAGCTCTGACCCGAAGGCAGGCGGGGACAGGAGAGGGGTGGAACCGGGGTCTCCCGCACTGAGGCTGATTCTTTACCATCTGAGCCACCAGGGAAGCCCCAATTCACAAATTAGAATCTCTTTAAAACTGTTAACGGATTTTTTTTTTGTGTGGGGGCGGAATGATGAGGTGTTTTCAGTTCTCATAACTCCGTAATGATTTGATTTTCATGCAGAAAGCAGCTGTAGCAATCAGGAAAACAACACAGACACATCTAGAGAGAGTTCTTGGGGTGTCTACTTGGTCTCAGTGGGGTGGGAGGGTAGCCCCTGCTATTTGGGGGGCTGCGCCTCTCAGTGTGATCTGCGTTGGGACCACGTTCACTGCAGAAAGAGCTGGGCATCCCAAGGTTTTCGTTTGGCACAGAAGGGCACCTCCCACCCCGTGCCCCCAGCATCAGGGATCAGAGCATGTGACATCCGGGGCGGGGCCTCAAGCTCAGCATCCCCGTCAAAGGTCCCTGCGGCCACAGCTGCAAAATCACTCTTGGATGCAGGCGGCTTGGATTGCACGGGTCTCATATACAGGTTAACACACAACAGAGAGGGGAAGGAACAGCGGGCAGAGGAAGACAAGCAAACAAAGGGAAAGAGGCAGGGGTCCGTGACCTGGCAGCACACCTCCAAAACGCTGCTCTCCCGGCCAGGCTGACGCAGCAGAATGGGGGTATTCTCCCACACTGGAGACAGACGCACATGGGCCACTTGCCAGCCAAGTTACTCTGGGAACTCTCTGACCCTCAGCTGCTTCATCTGTGAGAGGGGATAATCGCCCGGAAATAAACTGGAAATAAACTGGAAAACATATAAAGCCTCCAAACTAGAAATCAAGCACTAGCATCCGGCCAAAGAAGGGATACCAATGACTTTTATTATTCTGAATGCTCCACAGCCCACGTTTTCCTGATTCCAGTATGATAAAGTCTCGCTGGGGAACAAAGTGATCTGCAGACCCCAGTTTTTTAGGTGACTTCAAACATCACTTTGAAGTACTTTAGCCACTTGATGCAAAGAGCTGACTCACTGGAAAAGACCCTGATGCTAGGAAAGATTGAGGGCAAAAGGAGAAGAGGGCGACAGAGGATGAGATGGTTGGATGGCATCACCGATTCAATGGACATGAGTTTGAGCAAACTCCAGGAGATGGGAAGACAGGGAAGCCTGGCGAGCTGTGGTCCATGGGGTCGCAAAGAGTCAGACACGACTGAGAGACCCAACAATAACAACAAAAGCATCACTTTTCATCTAAAACATTTTTACTGAATAAAAATCTGTCTAAAATGAGTCTCAACTACTTGCTTTTGAAAATGGGTACACAAAATAGAATTTCACCTTTCCCGGCTGAATCTACTGCTGCATTGTGCTGTCGTACAAAGAACCAGGCAGCCCTGGGGCTGCAGGCGCTGCTGCTGGGTTAACACACTTGCCGGCTGGTCAGCTGTTCTCCCTCCCTCCTGCCGGGCATCACTGTCTACAGCCACTCACTTCCTCTCCCCATTCCCGAGAAACTGGATAAACGATCCGACTTGAAAAAATACACACGGGGGTGTTGACAGTCCCATCTCTCTTGAGAAAGAACATGTACTTCAGTGTCAGAGAAATCTTTGTGCTTCTTTTTTGATTCCTGGCTGTATTCTGGAGTTCATATCCTACATGAGGACTGTTTTGGCCAAAGAGTTTTTGCCATATTATCGCTGTGTGTCATTTACATGGCATTAGATTTTGTAGAAAGAGAATTTCATGATTTTTTTTTTTTTGGCTCATTCTACAATGGACCAAATCACATATAGAAAGAAAAAAGTGGGGCTCCAACTGTATCATAGGTTTCCTTAATAACTAGATACTGGCTCACTACTTCTGCCTGGAGTTTACATGTTTTACTGGCAGCAATAGCAATTTTCTTTGGGGTAGCACTGGGTGAGGGGTTGAGGTAAGGCTTTGTACCATTAGTATCATAAAACAGTACCGAAATGCACAGAGCAGGAACCATGAGTCATACTTGTACAGAGACTGATTATTTGGATGAATTTTACTCAAATAGCTCAGCTGATAAAGAATCTGCCTGCAATGCAGGAGACCCTGGTTCAATTCCTGGGTTGGGAAGATCTGCTGGAGAAGGGATAGGCTACCCATTCC